AGTGCTGGACAGCGTTTCTGATATGGCGAGACATGCTGCGATGTTGGACAGTAGCTGGGGATTTCCCTGGGACGTATCGGTGCCCTCCCGGAGGAGGACAACAGTTGGTTGCTGAAAAATAGTTGAGCGACACTTGGCTCAGCGTACAGGATGTAATCCGCACCATTGGAAGACCGCGCTGCATTTTTGAGGAAGAGGCGCCGAGTTTGCCGTTGTTGAGCAAGAGCTTTGCCGTGACGTTACGCGTTCGTGGAGTCACGCTGATTACTGGACGCGTCAAGTTGCCCGCCATGTCTGACTCGGAAATGCCTGCTAGCGAGCGTCCTCCGTTATTCTTTGTCGGCTCCGACGACGAGGATGAGGACGTTATCATGGACCCAGAGGCTCCCGTAGCCTCCAGCTCGGGCCCTCCGTCCAGAGCTTCGTCCCAGTCGCGTCTGTTTTCGGTGGATGGAAGTGATGACGAGAAACACGCTGCGGAAAGCCCTCACTCGCAGAAACGACCAATCTATGTGGAGGATGATTCAGATAGCGAGCCAGCCCGACCTCCTGTCAAATCGGAGAACGGCTCCAAGGCAGGGCCATCTCGCAAAGCCTCCGAAGCTCCCCCTTCCAAAAAGCGCCGCATATCTTCGCCGTCTCCACCAGAGTCTTTACCTATGTATATCGGTGAGATGGTCTTTGGGCATGCCTGGAGCAACGTCTCCGGAAAGGGCTACATCAAAGTCAACGACGAAGTCAAAATTATGCGAGAGCCTCAGAAGGACTCAAAGAAAGCCGAGAGTAGCAAGGCTGGGGCGAAGGCGAAAAAAACTGGAGATGGCAAGAAGCAGATGTCGCTCACAGCCATGATGAAACAACCCGCCAAAGGGTCGGCTTTCAAGAATAAGAAGACCGACACTATTGTGCGCCTTTATAATTCCCGCGGTTTTGGTATGGTATACAAGTTCTGGCAAGCATGGTGTTCACTTATAACGAACAGAATTTGGTCGTCTTCCTCAGGATATATCTTCATGGATAGCTAAGCTGCTTGATCTTGGTCCGTCATATTTAAACCCACATAACAAAGCATCTGAAGTGGCACAGGCATCGTCGAATTCCGGGGCAAAATGACGGACTGCCCGGAGAAGCTTTCCACCGGTGCAACGCTCATCATAACCGCAGACGTCTACATGCTCCCCGCCGCCTTCAAGCCCTCAAACCTCGATGCCGACGACAAACCCATTGTGATGTTCTCCGAGGGCGCAGAAACGCTAGACGAACAAACCCTTCGTGAGCGAAAGGCGTCCATCCTCAAACTGTTCGACGTCATTGGGCTGCGGCCTCAGGCGGGCGCCAACTTTGTTGGGCGCAAGTCTGATGAGCAAATCCACGAGGATGCGCTTAAAAAGATGGCGGAACGCAAGTCGAAAAAGGTGACGGAAATTGTCGGCGACGGAGAGGAGATCGAGGTAGAGGAGGAGGACGGGGAAGAGCTGACTGAGAACGATCTCGACATGATCTATCAGAAGGCGCAGAAGAGCGATCGCACCATGGGGGAGATGGAGCCCCCAGATACGTTCACAATTACCCTCCGCGGGTATCAGAAGCAAGCGCTCTTGTGCGTCGCATTTCTAGGTCCCTACTTTCTATGCTTCTCACCTCGGGCTCAGATGGATGCACTCCCTGGAACTTGGGAAGATGGACGCGCGTGAGGCGTCCTCCATGCACCCTCTATGGAGCCAGTAGGTATTGCCCTTTCTGGGCTGTACGCAGGTTTACCTTGTCGCAGATACGCATTCCCACATCCCAACGATGGCGGGGTCATTGACTTAACCGCCGACGAAAAACCGTTCTATTTCAATCCGTACTCGGGTGAGCTGAGTCTCGAGTTTCCGAAGGCAGAGGGAAAGGGGAGGGGAGGGATTCTTGCGTTCGTCGTTCTTCTGTTACCTTGGTCAATGGTCTAATCCTTCTTCCAGTGATGGTAAAGTCCTTTTTATCATTCTATCGTTCCCTCTAAACATTATAATTCAGAGATGGGCATGGGGAAGACGTGCGCCGCGTTCATAAACGAATGTAGTACCACACACTGACCTCCCGCGCAGCATCGAACTTGCTGCCCTCATCCATACCAACTGTGCACCCGATACCGAACGCCCTGTCGAGGACCCCGTGCCCGCTACGAAGCACCGTCAATTGAAGCTCAACAATGCTTTCAAAAAACTCCCCCGCCGCAAAGCACAAAAGGCCCCGTCTGCAACGCTGATCGTCGCCCCCACGTCGCTGTTGGCCCAGTGGGAGGGAGAACTACAGCGCTGCAGCAAACCTGGATCGCTCAAGGTGCTTCTGTGGCACGGCCAAAACCGGCTCGACTTGGAGGACGTACTAGAGAGCGACGACGATGAGGATGCGACGATCAAAGTTATCATCACGTCTTATGGTGTCCTCGCCTCTGAACACGCCAAGTCCGAAAAGGCGAAGTCCCCTGTGTTCGAGAGTCAGTGATCAGTGGCACGTGCCATGTCGAGACTCATCCAACTTCAGTTGAGTGGCTTCGTGTCGTGCTGGATGAGGCGCATTCGTGCAAGTCGCGCTCTAGTAAGACCGCCAAAGCAGCCTATGCTCTTAATGCTCGGAGGAGATGGGCTGTAACAGGTATTTTATTCGTGGATTCAAATTCCGTACAGCTGACATTTTTCAGGGACGCCGATTGTGAATAAACTAGAAGACCTATACTCGCTGTTGTTTGTGATGTCTCTTCGTTGGATGCTGCCTTGTTGACGCAGAACAGAAAATTCCTCGACTTCAGGCCATGGTCTGACTTTTCGTTCTTCCGCTCGTAGGCCCGTCTTTCTTCTACATTGAGTCCCACGTTCACCCAAACGCAGCTTTATCACACTGCCCTTCCTGGCTCGGGATCCCAAGGCGATAGAAATTGTGCAGATTATTTTAGAGTCCATCTTGTTAAGACGAGAAAAGACCATGCTGGATACTAATGGTAAACGGATAGTCGAGCTGCCTCAAAAAGAAGTACGTGGAGATGTCTTGAGAGATACGGGTGGGCACTAAATTTCTTGTCAGGTTACCGTAGAGTATCTGGAATTCTCCTCAATGGAGAGAAAGATATACAACAGCTTATTCAATTCTGCCAAGCGCGACTTTGAGCAACTCAATGCAAGGGGTCTTGTCGGGAAGAACTACACCCATATCTTGGCGATGCTCATGCGGTGCGCTTTTTTCATACCTGGCGTGTTCGGCATTTTCAAGATCTGGCAGGTTGCGGCGCGCCGTGCTACATCCAAACCTAGTGCTCGCCTCTGACGACGAACGCGCGCTCCCGGAGGACGGTGATGGGACCGTAGACGTCAACGAACTGATCAAGCGCTTTGCGGACAACAGCCAGACGGGCGAAAGCGGTAGCAACGCGTTCGTGCAGAACGCGCTCGAGAACCTCGATCTCGACAGTGCTGACGCGGAATGCCCTCTCTGCTTGGACGTCATGCAATCACCCATGATCATTCCCGAGTGCATGCATCGCTTGTGAGCCAGGTCTTGTTCCTCATGGAGGAGGGTTAGATAACGGTATATCACAGCTGCAAGGACTGCATCGTCGCGCACGTCGCCAACTCCGAAGAATCCAAGTGCCCTAACTGTTCACGCGGGCCCATCCATGTCCGTTGCGAGCTGTCCGTTCTTGGCCCCTCTAACATCAAACCCCTAGGAAAGCGACCTCATCGAGGTTTACCGACCACCGACCAGCTCGCAGGATCCACAGCCCAGTGTACTCTTACGAAAGAACGACTTTCGCTCGTCGACGAAACTCGATGCCCTCGTCGATAATCTGCGTACGTGCGATGGATACAAGGTCATCTCTGTCCGCCTAATGCTACTTTCAGGCAAGCTGCGCGAGCAAGACCCGTGCTTCCGCGCCGTGGTGTTCTCCCAGTTTACGTCGTTTCTGGACCTCATCCAGGTCGTGCTGAAGCGAGAACGCTTTGAGCAGTATCGGTTTGATGGTTCGATGGACGTCAAGAAGAGGGGGTTGGCCCTCGACGAGTTCAGGGCGCCGACGCGGAAACCGAAAGTGCTCATCGTGAGCTTGAAGGCCGGTGGAGTGGGTTTAAATGTGAGTTTATTGCTGTGCTCTGTCATAGATACTCAAGACGCCCTGCACAGTTGACGACCGCCAATCATGTGTTCATGGTGTGTGGGTCTGTACGAGCTTGAAGTAACACTAACTAGTCCCTCAAAGATGGACTGCTGGTGGAACGCCGCAACGGAGAATCAAGGTAACTTGTTTGCTCATGTCCTCGCAGCATACTGACACCACAAAGCCATCGACCGCGTCCACCGAATCGGCCAAGAAAAGACGGTCTACGTTAAGCATTTTATCGTGCGTCCACGAAGCGCCTCATTCGCGTTGTGTTAACGGTCCGTAGGTGTCGAACACGATCGAAGGCCGCATCCTCCGTATACAGAAACGCAAGACCGCCATCGTCAAAGAGGCGTTTCGCGGGAGCGGTGGGGCAGGGGGTGATCGTGACCTGGAGAGCCTCGAGAACCTCAAGATTATGTTCGGGGAGGAGCCTGACGAGTGAGGCGATGACCGCTCAACCCGTTTACCACTATGCACTGTGATTCGGGACCAATAGCTTAACGTGACGCAACTGAGACAATCTGCCAAGTGATGCGAAAATTCGGACTGCGTGCATTTCCATCGAAATAAGCTTCGATGAGAGTGGGATTTAAGGTGCTCCGTCCGCAACAACACCACTATTTTGTAGGCTTCATAGGCCATGGCAGCGATTGATGAAGAGCAAACAAAGCGCAGATACCACTACGCCGGCGTCCAAATCGGGAAATTATTTTGAACATGAGATCAATGTCGACGGTGCACACCGTCCGCTCGACTAACCCACCAAGCTCCAAATGCGAAAATATAGATACGTATGCCCTTCGTTGTCTAAAACATTTTCCAAGTGCTTTAAATGCGTTTTACGTGAAAAAACGCAAAAAAGTGATGAGAGTGGGATTCGAACCCACGCCCCGGAGGACCAGATTACATAGTGAACTATGCAAGTGGAGCTTCAGAAGAAGCTGATCCTTAGTCTGGCGCCTTAGACCGCTCGGCCATCTCACCCTTGAACAGCTCTCCAAGCTTGAATACAAATCCGGAATGTAGGGTGAACCACCAGTGAAGCAGAAGTCTAGAATCAGAGAAAAACGATTTCAATGGCGTGGTTGAGACTTGCAGAAGGCATACACTTAACTAAACATGAGTGGGGATAACCCGGCGAGTACTGGAAGCCCTACGAACCTAGATAGATCCTGACGGAATGCGGAGGCGCAAAAAACCTAGGTGGAAATTTTGCCCCCAGCGAAAACAACATCGTACGAGGAAGCTCCCAAGGTCGAAACGAAGCCGAACTTAAAGACGTTAACGCCAAATAATCACTTGACTCTATCGGGCATGCCATAGATTCAGACGCGGTGGGTACTGGAGGTCGCACTAGCCTAGATAGATCTCCACCGGGACAAGATCTCTGATGAAGCCAAGACAAAAACGGAGGGGAATTTCAAAACACAGATGCCAGATTAATTGTCAGTAACCGTATCGTGCCTGGCGTAGATTCAGGCGCCGCGAGTGCGGATGCCGCACGAGCCCCAGACTGCGAAAACGAAGGTGCCGGATTTATTAGTAGACACAGCGACTCCGAATACTAGCGTCGCATGCCTCAGATAGAGCCTTAGACCTCAGTCCTAGAGTGCGAAAAGGACCAGACAAGATGTCACAGACTAAGACCCAAGGACGAGGCAAAAGGTATGCAAGTTGCTTCCATTGAATCTGTTGAATACAATATTTAATACACCAGTACCTCTAAATCTTACGAGCATGAAGAAAGTCCGGTCCCAGGAACGCAACACTTCAAATGTACACCGGGTTGTAGCTCGGTCTAAATAAAAATATGAATTGTAGATCCTCTAAAAGCCACACGTATCAATCGTCGCACTCACACCAAGGTGAACCCCTCATCGCTAGCCGCGTCTTCCCCATCCCCGCCGGAAAGCTCCGCCTTGTAGCGGCGCCACAGCTCGCGCACCGGCGCGCCGGCCAGCCGTTCGAATATTGTGACATCGTAGTCCACGCCCAGCAGCGCTGCGTTCAGCGCGCGGACAGTACCGGGGCCGCGTTGCTCCTCGATCCATTCGAGGAAGTACGCCGTCGTCTGGTACCCCGCGTCCCATGTGTCGCCCGGGCGCGTCTCGCGCTTCCAGTGCGGCGGCGCCAGGTCCGCGTGCAGGCGCACAAAGTCTACGTAGCACAACCCGCAAATAAGGGTTCGGGCGTTAAGTTGATTTAGCAGGGTGTTTACGACACACCGGCGACGCCCTCGATGAGCCCGCCGGGGGCGGTGCCATTCGCGTTGTGCTGGTAGCAGTGGACGACCTGCCGGGCCGCCACGGGTCAGTGCGGTGCAGTGGGCAGGGGGACGATACATGCCTCGTGCACGAGGACGCCGAGGATCTCAGCGCGCGCTCGCGCGGCGCTGTTCACGATATGGTCGAGCGAGAAGTGGATCTCCTTCTCCGTGTGCGAGCCGAAGGTGTATGCGACGCCGTCCATGGGGCGCAGCACCAGCAGGATTGAAAGAACACTGGATGGCGGTGGTTGGTATGCGTTTGAATGAATAGAGAGCTGAAACGTTGAAAGGAGAGCTCACTTGGTCGGCGCATTCGCTGGCGTAGCGTACAGCCATTCGAAGCTGGCGAGGACGGCGGCGCGGAGGGCGGTTGTGGGGTGGACGCTGTCGAAGAAGAGGGTGGCGCCGGGGTGGGCGAGGTCCTCGACGCGGATGTTGAGCTTGGGCAGCGGCCACTCGGGCGGCGGCGTCGGAGGTGGCACGGGAGTCGGAGGCATAGATGGAAAGCATCACGCCGAATGTTTATCTTATCTGATCCGGGAGCGAACTGCCACCCCCTGTGCGCTCGAAAGTGGCAAGAAACCAAGCGGGAATACAAAAGAAGGGCGTTGGAGAACGCTACACAAAACTAACTGGACCCGGTGTACACGCGGACACCATCCCATGCCTACCGTAAGGTTCATGAGAGTCGAAATATATTAATATTGGTGCACCACGCGCAGGTTACGCAACTGCACATGGGCGTGCATTGCCCAAGGAGAATTGCTAGGAAAAACCTTGGATCTCCTTGGATCACCACACCTGGTCATCCTGGTCATCACGACAACTCAGCGCTCAGGGGTTGACCGAATATGACGAGCAAGGACAAGGTAGGGCGCCGATAACGACGCCAATCTTCCAGCAGATCCGACAAGAGATAGAGATTCCAATTAAAAAACCTAGGTCCGTGAACTGCTAAAAACACATCTATTACGCGCAATAATAATATTTTGCCTGACGGGGTCAAGTCAGCGTCGAAGAAGGAAACAGAGCAAAGAAGAAAGAGTTCACCAAACCTAAACCACAAAAACAGGATTATCCACCCATTCGTCAACGGACGCCGCCGTCGCGAATGCCCGCGGCCCCCTCGACGCGCATGACCTCGTCCTTTATCGCGTCGCGGCCTTCCTCGAGCCACTGGATGTATTCGACGGCCCGAAAGAGCACGCCGCTCTTCCCCTTGCTCTGGCCCTTGCCCCTGCTGCCACTTCCCTTTGGCCGGCCTCTCTGGGGCATCCCGAGGCCTGGTGCAGATCCGGCCGGCGCGAGCAGGGCGATCAGCTGCGCGTACCCGTCTCGGATGGCGTTCCGGCGTTTCTGCTCAGACATGATGTGGTTCAGCCGCTTCTGCGGCGTCGAGAGGAGCGGCTTCGTGCGCGCGGCGGCGGCGGCGGGGGCAGAGGCGGACCCGTTGCTCGCGGTCGACTGGTCGTTGGCATGGGAGGACGACGTCTCGGACGCGTTGCTCGGTGTCTCGCTGTCGCGCCGCGGGGAGTACTCGCGTCTGTGCTGTTGCTGCTGCTGGTGCTGCTGTGGGGGTGCGCGGGTGGATGCTGAACGGGTGGTCCGCCGGGGACGCCCCGAGGTGGATGGCTCGGGAGCGGTGTTCAGATGGGGGTTCGAGTAGGGGGCGCGGGGGGAGGTGTACGGCTGCTGCTGATCTGGCTCCCAGCCAAAGTCGTTGAAGTTGTCGAGGAATCCGAGCAGGTCTGTTGTCTCTGCCGCAGAAAAGAGGTCTGCGGACGCTGGGAGTGGTGGGGGGTTGGGGAAGAGGGAGGGGTCGAAATGGAAGTCAAAGTCGGGGAATGGTGGTGGGGGAGAGAGAGACATGGTGTGTGGTCTGCTGCTGTTGCATCAGTGAATGAAATATCAAGAATCTTGCATGGAGCGCAAATTTGCCGGAGAGTCGGGACGATGGGTAGCCGGCCCATCATCCATCTCAATCAGTACCCCGGATCGCAAAGGGGGTCCCTCGGCAACGGACTCGGAGACTTACATGGGCTCTTGCTGTGCGCTTTTTCAGCGTCTGAGACTGCTAAGAAAGCAGCTGGTCAACGCTCACCGGGATTTTGCATGGACGAGAATCGCGGAGAGCAAGCTGAATTGCACTCAAGATGCACGCTTGATGGGTGAGGTTGGGAAAACAAAGACAAACGCGTCACTGATGTAACGCGCACTATCTGTCACACCGCCGTTTTCGCCGCCTCCGTTTTGTCCGTCGCGCCGCCGCGTCTCGGTCCAGATGTCAACCCATCCCGAAGACCTTGACCCGCAGATCATAACCGATCCACAACACCAGCAGGCCCAGCACCACCCCCAGCACCCCCAGCATCCCCAGCACCCCCAGCACCAACACCACCAAGTCCAGCAAGTCCAACCCACCCAGTCCCCAAGCGAAGGGACTGGCACCCGCAAGCGTGCGTCTAACTCCCCGCTTCTCTTCGCTGCAGATTGAGTCCAAGCAGCGAAAGGTCCTTCAGTTCGTCGCGCCTGTGTCGCCTGTCACGCCGGGAAAACACGATGCAGCGAGGTTCTTCCTTGCCAGGCAAGTCGCGATAGACCAAGTTTCCGCAACTCGCCCCTAATCCAGCGCTAGAACTGCCTCAAACGGGGACTCGGCCCCGTCTGTGCGTATCCCGATCCCGAGACGGAGCAACAACATGACCGCGCCGCGGCCGCAGGCATGTCTCTGCGTCACGCCGGCGAAATAAATTTATTTTAACAAACATCTGTGCGCCAGAGTCCGCCTCCACCTCCGCGACAAGCGCGTCGTTCGCTCCGCCGCCGCCGCCGCCCGTGTATGCCGCGTCGCAGGGCGGCGGGCTCACACTGAGTCACCAGCAGTACTACGACTACAATGGCGCCTTCACCGGCGCGTCGTCCTCGACCTTCCGCCCCGCGAAGCGCCCGCGTAATCTAACCGAGGAGGAAACGGCCGCCATCACCCGCAACTTCAGCCGGGGCGACTTCTTCGTCGGCAACAGCGCGCCGGTGCGCATCGACCCGCGACTCCCCGTCCGGCTCACGCTCGGCGAGGGCGACCATGTACAGTAAGCCGTCCGTCCGTCCGTCTCCGTAATCAGAGCTAATACGACCTAGCTTCAATGTCGGGAACTACGAGGTAAGCGCATTTAGCGTCCACTGTCTCCGATAGCTGATAATAATTAATTCCACCAGCCCTAGGATATTCGTTCCATGATCCAACACACCATCCGCATCTTGTATATATGTACAGTCTCTCGTCACATTTTTCCTGGTTGCATTATGTACATATCTATCATGTCAGTGCCCCTCCCTACCTAGTCCAGTGCCCCCCTTCTAGTTTTGCTTCCGTTCTATCGTACTCCGTATGCTCTCCCGGCCGGCCGTCGCCGTCGCCGCCTCTGCTAATCAATGCTGTGCATTCACACCACTCCGCCCTCCATTTCGCACCTCGTTTCCTTCTACTTACCACGCTTCTTCGTAGCGCGATGGATTGCTAGGCCGCCACGACGTCGCTTACTTGATCGCGAACCGCCCCGCCGACATCTCTGCATCCACATGGGGCTGCAGATCAGTAGATCATGCTCCGTCCGCTCAGCAGACCTTCTTTTCGCGACTCTACATCTGTTGCGATGATGGGAAACTTGTTTTGAGAGATGCGCAAGTCGTTGCCAACTTCCCGAGCTGATACGAACGC